GAAATAGCTGCAGTGATCACATCTCCGCTCACACACCCGCAGGGGAAAATTTCCTACACCCCACCAGAGACAGGATCAAGTCCTCTGTTTATAGTGTATTTCACCAGTAGATTACTATTAATGACATTTGTTTAAGTGATGGTGAAGGCTAATCCAAAATATCACAAATGTGCTGTTAACCTGAGGCATTTTCATTGAATGGTTCCAGTTGGGTTTGAATTAAGATGCTATAGGACAGCATTTTATTAACTGATTTGGTTAACTGCGCTTGAGAGGGAAGATCTGTTCATAAAGCTGGCCTTGCAGGAGCCTTGTTTATTGCACCTGTGAGCAGCTGAATTCCTGTAAAGGCCTGTGAAGGAATCCTCCAGAACTAGAAAGCTGAGAATTACATAAGGGTGTTATTAAGTTATAGGTTATGTTTAAATTGTTAGTACTGAAAATGGCCTTGGCTGATTTTACCTGATCTGCTTATAGCTTGTTTACCTAGTCTAGGTTCTGTAGTATTTGGTCTATGGTGATCCAGTGGAGTGCAGATATTTTGGTTGTATAACTTATTGGTAGTGGTCAACCAGCAAAGAAATCCTATTCCCGTTCCAATTGGTAACAGATTATCATAAATGTCTTTATCCTTCATAATATTCAGACCTGCTAAAGATTGCTCGTAAAATAAATAGACTGGGAAATGTGTTAGAAACAGTATAAAGGCAAAATATTTTTCATACACTGTAAATTCTCCTTGGCAAATTGGAAAAATAAAATAGACTAGAATATCTTTCCATTCTCTAGTTTATTTCAATAGTGCTTTATAAGTAACAAGTTAAATACTGATTGCACAGTAACTTTTCAAGCAAGCTATTGCTATTGTGTTATGAACAATAGCTGGCACAGAGCAGTGAACATTAGAAGATGCTTTATTGAGACTGTGAATGGTGCCAGGAACTCAGATGTTACATCCTTCATTTATTTTGCCCCTTCCATGGCAAACGCTCCCAAAGCAGTTTGCATGTCTGTGTGTAATCCCCTTAATCTTGACAAGTGAATAAAATAGGCTTTTTTCTTTTTCATTCATCACTATTATTGCCGTGATACTAGTGGGTGAGTGGGTTTTGTGCTTGGACTAGTAAATTTTCATGACAGTTTTCCAGAGCTGCTTTAAGTAACTTCAGAGTGGAACACACAAGCTATGGAATATACAACAGAGCAACAGTTTGGGAAAAGGCATGATGACTATTCATTTTCAAGTGCTGATTTGAGGAGATTTAAAAATATCTGTCCCATGTGCTGGAGCAGGAAACTATACTTTGGATCTTCTCTCTATAAGTGGTCAGGACTATAGCCAGCTGGAGGATGACTATTTTCTTTTGCGGCAACATTTGAGTTGTTGAAATCGGATTTCCCTGTTCGAACGAAAACCTTCTCAAATGTTCCCATGTTCCCACAAAATAGAATTGTGCTGATATATCTTTTTTTTTTCTGAACAGAAAGATCAGATTTTCAGTTTGGTTATCTCACTTGTCAGAAATGACCAACGAGTCTTGGACCTTCAAAACCTTAGAAAACTAATAGGTCTCTGAAACATGTAATCTTCAAATTAATAGTATATTTCAATGAAAATACATTGCCAATAGTGTTCCAACCAGTTCTTGTTAGGAACACTTTTGTGCATTATCTGAAATACAGCATGTGGCAGCACACATCCAGAGCGTGGTGGGTTTTTTGGGGGAGTTTGGGGTTTTTTTTAAGTACTGGTCCAGAGAAGATTATTTCTCCAGTGCTAGAGTAAGTCAAATCCTTTTTTGGGAGGCATGGGGGGTTAAAAAAGGCAATTTTTTCATTTAATATTTTTTAAAATCGATGTTTTTGCGTCACTAGTGCTTAGCTTTTGGCAGCGGATGAAAATATGCTCATTTCCTTCTTTTTTATTTTAAAGTGCTCTGCAGCTTTCTACCTGGCAATTAGCAAAAGATAGAAGAGGTTGTTGAATGATCCCCTAAGGGATAATGTTTTTAGCCCTAATAGTACTTCCCCCTCTATTTCTACTGAAACACTGGGTAGGTGCCTCTGCCTTGGGGTTTTATTTGAATCCACAACCTTCAGGTCTCAAAATTAGAATGCAGCCAAAGAGTAACATTTAAATGTATAGGAAACCATTATGTAATAGCCAAATCTGATACAAGTATTCAGCAAATGGCCCCAAAGAGGGAGAGGAAGAATAATTCTATTTTTTAAATTATTCAATTGAAATTAATGGAATATCAAGACACATCTTTTTTTATGTTGAATAGCAGACCAGAATGACTCTTTCGCCATTATTAAGGGCACAGCACTTTAAATAGTTAAATGTGGGCCAAAAGAGTGAAGGATTTTCAGTCTATGCGCTTAGAAGTAAGTTGCATTGAGTAACGATAACCACCTATATGTGAGTAAGGGTCTAGTCTGAAAAGTGTCTATTGAAAAAAAAAACCCACTGGGGTTCCATGGTTTTGTTGATTTTTACTTTGTGTGTGTAGTTTACCAGTAAGAAGACTGATTTTCCAATTACTAACCCTATAAACTTAATAATGAGACAGTCAAGTTAGACTCTGTCCTTCTCATACACATCAGTTCCAGTCATAAAAATTCTGCCCGAATTGTTTCCATGTGTTCCTATGCATCTCCTTCAGTTCCAGTTATGCAACCCCATACTAGTCACTGGAGTTTCGCAGGACTGTATTCACTATATTTGCATGAAGAATCCAACCTAAATTCCCCATCATTGTGTTTGCTCTACAATGCAAATAAAAGTTATTTTTTAAATAACTAGTCATCAGCATAAGCACAGATGACAGAACAAACACAGGGAGCACGCAGACCTACTGAGTACAAAGATGTCCTTTTAAAATAGTTCATTTTTCAGAGTACAACTGCACTTGAAGGGCATGAGTCTGTAAGGTACTGAGAGCCTCTAGCTCAGACTTAGTGGGATCTTTTCAGGATGTAATATTTGAGAAAGTGGCTAATAATTTAACCGTGTACCGTTGACATAAGACACTAATAGACCTTAGACTTACTGGCTACGTCTACACTGGCATGATTTTCCGGAAATGCTTTGAACGGAAAAGTTTTCCATTAAAAGCATTTTCGGAAAAGAACGTCTAGATTGGCAGGACGCTTTTCCGCAAAAGCACTTTTTGCGGAAAAGCGTCCATAGCCAATCTAGACGCGCTTTTCCGCAAAAAAGCCCCCGTCGCCATTTTTGCGATTGGGGTTTTTTTGCGGAAAAGAAATCTCTGCTGTCTACACTGGCCCTTTTGCACAAAAGTCTTTCGGAAAAAGACTTTTGCCCGAATGGGAGCAGCATATTTTTTCTGCAAAAGCACTGACAATCTTACATGAGATCATCAGTGCTTTTGTGGAAATTCAAGCGGACAGTGTAGACAGCTGGCAAGTTTTTCCACAAAAGCAGATGATTTTGCAGAAAAACTTGCCAGTCTAGACACAGCCGCCTTGTTTCCTTCATTCTCCAAAAGCTGCTTTGTCCAAAGAGGATAATTTAAGTGGGAAATATTTAACATATAGGAATGGCAAGTAAGAGATTTACTAGTGAGAGGATATCAAACACTACATGCACAGCGACAATGACTTCAAATGTATAATGTATGGGTTCCATTAAGGAATATCTGATCTTCTGTTTTCACCTACTTTGTTCTCCATTTTCATTTTTTGTTTGGAGGGGGGAACATCAGCACAGTTTGTGTGCATTCTGCTAGCAAAGTAGACCGTTAGGCTGTTCATACTGTATGTATCTCTGGAGTCTAGTATGTGTGTGCTTTATCTCTAAAGGAATGACAAAAGATGAAATATTGACAGTACAGGAGTACTCTCTCTTCCAAATCATTCAGGAAAATGTGATAAGAAAATTAAACTAACAAAGTACTGTGAGCACCCTTTAAAAAACTGTGCTTTAATTCAACTTTTTGTTTGTGCTTTCTATTTCTGTCCTTACAGAAATAGTAATACTGCTTCAAGATGGCTATTGCTTGCATGGTGAACTCTTATCATCTGTTCAAGATCACCCACAGTCTTTGAACATGAATGAAAACACTGCCATGGCACCGGGTTTATTATACACTGCATTTCACTCATTTGTTTTACAAAGGGTACGTCTACACTAGGCAGCTATTTTGGGATCCTAAAGGGATCCCAAAATAGCTAGCCCGCGTCTTAACAAGCCACCCATTACTTTGAAATAATGGGCATGCTGTTTTGGCATCCCGGTAACCCTCGTTCCACAAGGGTTAAGGGATGGATGACTCGAAATAGCGTGTTATTTCAAAATTTGGCAATGTGTAGATGCACCAGATTTTGAAATAGCCTATTTCGAAATTCAATCAAAATAACACAAATTGCATATCTTATTTCAAGTTTAGGGTGCTATGTAGACACACCCTAAGGGTTTTAAAGAGACATTCTATACGCTGCCATCAGCATGTCACATCTGTGATCCTCTCTTCACAGCAAGTTACTTCTGACCTGATTCTCCATGTAGCCAGGTCAGTCCATCAGGGCAATACCACTAACTAGAACTGTCCTCAAATTTCAAGTATCTCTGTGTTGGCCAACTAATTCCTGAACATAATGTAGCATTATAGCAGATTATAATCCCCTTTTGGTTTGTACTTGAACAGGCATTAAGGAAATTGACTCATTCTTTTGCTGTTGCTAAATATTTGACAGCCTTATGGACTGTCTTATCAACAGGCTTCTCTGGGGAAGAGACTGGAAGTTCCCAGCTGTGTTGACATAGTATAAGTACCGTAGTTAAAATCTGCTGCTTAAAGCAGACATTAGAAAGATAGGGCAACATAACTGAGCTTGTTAAATGTTTTCCTTATGCAGAGCGTAGAACAGTGGGACTGTGGTTGGAGAGCAAAAACACAAATGAAAATTAAGCAAGAAAATGGATGATTTGCAATGTTTTGAGTTGTAACCTGCTGCATTTGGTTGCTGTTTTTCAGTAAATGAATTCACAGTCATCAGAAAGAAATTCAAGTGCCCATACTGCAGTTTCTCAGCCATGCATCAGTGTATCCTGAAGAGACACATGAGATCCCATACAGGAGAAAGACCCTATCCTTGTGAAATATGTGGAAAAAAATTCACGCGCAGGGAGCACATGAAACGGCACACCTTGGTAAGTAGGAGCATTTGAAGTATTTGAAAAACAGAGCGATGGTTTGTTGTGATTAAGGAGAAGAGGAACTTCACCTGACTTAGATTTGTATTCTGTTTTTCCCCCTGGTGCTCTTCTGAGTCTGTTATGGAATACAGAAGACCTCTCTCCTGTTTTTCCCACCTTTAAAAGCACCAGTGTCTGTCTTACTGTTCCTCTGGAGTTATTCAACAACTGGTCCTCCAACTCAGCCAGAGGAATTGCTGAAGAACTATTTGAAGTGGTCTGCATGCCCTGTTTAGTGCTCCTGGCCCCAAGGTGAGGGACTGAGCTGGAAACTGAAACTCCAATCCTCACTTCTTAATATACTAAACTACTTTTTAATGCAACATAAACTGCTATGGAGGACCTATTAGGCTTTGGTGTTTCAAGGCACCATTACCTTTAAGATAAAAAATGTTGGCCTAATAGGCTGAATAATTGGGAACAGGGTTTTTGTTTTTTGTTTTTTTTTTAAGTAATACACCACCCAGTAAAAGCAAAGAAATCCTGATCTAAGACTACCGCTATCCTGTTGTGTTTAATTATCATTGAATACATCATTTCATTTCATTAAAGACTGCTTGCTGCTCAATGAGCTGCTAGAAGGTCACCGTGTGCTGCTGTAACTTGTTAGCTTGTCTCAACTGCAATGTTGTTATAAATGCACCATGTTGGGGGGTTGGTCATATTTCCTTGGGAGTATTATTTTGCTTTCCATGTATTTGTTAGCATGATTTTCACAGACTTGCACTTGACAGTCCATCTCCTTGATGGTGTGGCGTGATACTGTGGGGTAGTACAGATGACACGAAGTCCCATGATGACATGAAGTCCCATCTGGCGATATGAAATTAGATATTGTGGCAAATATTGTTGTTCATACTCACTGGATACTTTTTCAAAACCTTAATATCCTGACAGTTTCTGTTTTTTATAATAAATTCAGTAACACAAACTAGAAGAGCTAGAAATTAGAACCTTGTGAAGTTTTTTAATAGAATGGGCTAGAATGCGACACACAGGAATCTTTAAACTTTTAACTCACATTTTTCTCCAACAACAAAAAACCCCACCTTGTAACCATTTTAGTTTAAAAAGAACAAATTTTATGTCAACTTTGGCAGTAGTTTCAAAAGCCAAGACTTAACACCATCCCTCTCACTCTTAAATCAAGTCTGTAGTACAAACACCAGTTTCAGATTTCATTTTAGGGATGGTAGCAGCTTCATAGTAATAGTTTCTCGTACATCAACTTGTATCACTTTGGGAGAGAAAGAGTAAAAGAGAAATCACTAAAAAAAAATTACTAGACCCTGTTCGGTAGCTTGCTTGCTTTTCACCTTTTCTTACCTTTTCAATTTTTAATTTATAAATAGCTCTAACTAGAGAATTCAGTGGAAAGTATTATCTTCAGAAGCAACACTCCTTGATTGTGGGCTGTAAGACTGACCAACACGTTCCAGAATAAGACAGACCTTAATGGGTTTTGACAGATATAAGATGGAGACAGCTTTTCTTTCTGGATGATATAGATTCCATGGGAAGTACATGTAAATTAAGGTACCACAAAAGATTAAAAATAAATGTAAACTGATGTATTTGTTACTGGTTACAATTTAAACAGCAGATAGTCACAAAGAAGCTCTATTTCCTGCCTCCAAATTTTGAAAAGGTGATTTAAAACGATAATTTGAGCTCAATATAACTCATTTGAATAGTCTGAAATTTGCACGTGTTTTCTTATTATAGTGGAAAAAACACCATTGTGTGTTATAGGTGGAGTTAAAGTTCTTTTAATATATACATGGGCAGTGGAATCAGACATCTCTGTGAGATCTATAACTTTTTTATATAGATAGTTGAGTCTGCTGTCAGAATCCAGCACTGGTCAGAATTAAGTTTGTTGCTTTGAAAGTGCCAACTGGTGGTACAGAATTGTCGAGCGAGGAATGAAGTCCTGAGAAAGTGCCACATTGGAATAGAAAGAATTCCTATTGATATTATCAAAACTAGAAAATGCACCCTGCGATGCTTTGGTCCTTAACTCAATTATTTTTTGTTTTTCTTCATTTAAATCATTGCTCTGGGGTGGGGCTAGGGAGAAGGGGTTCAGTATGCAGGCTGCCACTGGGAGAGAGGACCGCCCCAGCCCTCTCTCACCTCTGCAGCTTAGGGCCTGGTGAGAAGAGCCTCTCCTTGCCTGTGGAAGCCCCAGAGGGAAGGGTGCATGTCTCCTGGCTCAGGCAGGTCCAGGTTGGCCTGCCCCATGTACCCCCACCCCAGCCACAGTGAGGAATGCAGCAAACTGTGCACTTCCCCCTCACTCCCTGATGAAGGGGAACAGCCAGCCATGTTCCTGTATGAATGGGAGGGGAGCTGCACGTCCCCTCCCCCCACTTTCCCTAAAGAACACCTGGGGTGGGAGGCTCTGGACTGGAGCAGTTCTGGATTGGGAGGGAGGTGCGCCCCCCGCCAGCCCCTTTCACCTCTCTGCTGATTGTCTCTTTTCTGTATGGTTTATGCATCCCCGTATGCGTCGGGGGTGGGGAACGTCAGCCTCCCATGGCACATCTAAACCCTTAACTTGCTTTAAGTTTGATAAGCAGAAGCTGCATACCAAGGAGTATGCTTTAAGTTTGATAAGCAGAAGCTGCATACCAGATTTGATGGTTCTAGCTCTTACCGTTTGAGAGAAGTTCTTGAATGGACAGGCAGACTCGCTCACTCTCAGAGAATAAACTCTCTCAAATATATAGCAGATGAGTCCAATCAGCTAAAGATTGGGTTAATAGTCATAGAAATGTCGTTTAGCAAGGAACCTTGAGAGGTCAAATCATCCTCCAGAGCTGAGGCAGGACCAAGTAAATCTAGACCAGGGCTACTCAACATGCAACCCACGGGCCTCATGTGGCCTGCAGCCCATTTGTTTGCAACCCACAGTGCAGGTTGGGTTTACATGGGGTACAACACACGGCCCGGGTGGGGTCCTTTGAACATGGACTCCGCTGGGAACACGCTTCCCAACGGCGAGTCAGTAGAATGGTCTTCTGTTGATACGCATTTTAGTAGTAAAATTCCTGGACTGTCATTGCTCATTGAAAGTGCTGTCATGGGTGGAAATTGGGTAACTATTGCACTTTATTAATAGCAGCAGAACTGACTTAAATGGAGCCTGCGTGTTGTGTAGTCTTGCCTTAATCTTTGTATACATGCCCGTCATTCTGAAAGAAGCTGTTTGCATATATATGTGTAACCCCCTCCTGTTGGCTAGCCCAGTGTGAGGTTATTCAGCGTAGGGGAAGCTTGTGACTTCTTACACCACGGGGGGCGGGGGAGACCTAGGCCTGAGGCTGCTTGGTGTGCTCTGCGTTGTGTATGTGTGAGTGCACCTCAGACCAGACCCATTCCGACAAATCACCAGGAACAGGCTTTATTCTGTAAAAAATATAGAAGAGGAAAACAGTTCAGCAGCCCCTTCTCTCAGCATGCAGCCTGGGTGCTGCTTCTAGCACAGTCCTTGCTGAGACCCTCCTGGGGGCAGAGCTTACAGCACACAACACAGCCCCCCTTGGAACACATGTTCCTACTCCCACAGCAACTAAACCACATAACCAAGTCCAGGTTCCCCCTTTGTGTCACTTAAACTCGCTCAACGCATGACCCAGAGGGTGGGAACCAAAACAAAAAATGTAGTCAATATAATGGCCTTCTGTTGATATGCATTTTAGTAGTTAAATTCCTGGACTGTCATTGCTCATTAAAAGGTCTGTCATATGGGTGGAAATCAGGTAAATATTGCATTTTATTAGTATCAGCAGAACTGATTTAAATGGGGCCTGCATGTTGTGTAGTCTTGCCTTAATCTTTGTATTCATGCCCGCACATGTAAGTTGCAGCCCTCTGTATGTGCTGTATCATTGTGACCCCCAGGACTTCCAAAGTTGAGTAGCCCTGATCTTTATCATCCCTGATGGGTATTGCCTAATCTGTTCCTAAATACCCTCCAGTAACAGAGACTCCACAGCCTCCCTGAGAAGCCTGTTCCATAATGTAACTATATTTATAGTTATAAAGTTTACCCTGTCCGCATTGCTGCTGATTAAATGGTTTATTCCTTGTACCTTCAGTGGACATGGAAAACAGCTGATCACTGTCCTCTTTAGAACAGCTCTTGACACACTTGAAGATTAGTAGGTTCCCCCTTAGCCTTTTTTTCTCAAGACGGAACATGTCCAGTTTTTTAAACCTTTCATCATCAGTCACATTTTGTAAACCTTTTATCATTTTTGTTGCTGTCCTTTGGAGTGTATCAGCTCTCAAGGTGTGGTGCCCCGAACCTGACAGTGAAAACCACAACTAAGATCAAGTTAAAGTTATAACTGGTTTTGTGTTCAGACCATTGTTCCTCCTCTGAAAAAGCACTAGGTAGGTTCACTTTACTTTTTGGATATTACAATAGGGACTCATTAGGTTTACTGATTAAAAAAAAAACTCCACAGAGGAGCCCACTGACAATATTGTCACAAAAAATGGGAGCCCTACAGGGAATGATTTTGTATAAGAGTAAAAAAAGTTGATAGTTGTGTTTGTTGGATATCCTCTCCCCAGTTAGGAAAGTATTCCTTTCCACAAGCTATTAGGTCAGTCTGTATTTTGATCTTCACTTAGAGGGATGTGTTGTGGGTTGTGTGAATTGAATACAGGTAAGGAAACTCTTGGGGTCTTGTGCTTATTTGTCTTATAACTTTATTTTGGTACGTCAGACATTTGTGCTTCTGAATGCCAGTTTGCTGGTAGAATTGAGATTAATGTAGATGTGCATCAAGTGCAAACTGCACCTGTTACAAAAATAACTCCCAAACATACATCTGAGGGTAACAAGTTGAAGTAGAGAAAAGGAAATGCATTTAAACCACCGAAGCCTTTGCTTCTTTCAGTTCCTCAATTAACATGCCAGGCTTAAAGCAATGGTGTTAGCT